AAAAAAAAAAAAAAAAAAGAAAAGAAAATGGTGATATGAAAATCATAAGAGAAACTAGAAACTATAGTTACTATTCGTTAAGTGGAAGTAGATGCTCATAAAGGTTTTCATCCTTGTTGTCTTCACATTGAGGAGGCTGAGTAAGAGGAGAGATTGGTTTTGCTATCTCAGGTATAGCAGAAACTGAGGAAAATTTGTATATAAATGGACTTGAGCAGTTCAAAACTGTTTTTCAAGAGTGTGCTGTAGTTTGATGAATGAATTGTGCATGATTGCACTATAATATCTTACAGTTTTTCTATAATTTTGTAAAAAAATTTTCTGGGTCTATCTTTTAGGAATGAAATGGGAAGACCAGATCATTGAAGATCAGTACAAAAGTCCCAGGAGAAATGTAATTTGCTGCCACAGGAGAAAGATATGTCTCTGGAGTCATTCTTCAAATGATAGGAAATTTTATAAAGAAGCAAAGAAAATGAACAAGCCCAGCTTAAATTTATTTATTTTAGAAGATTTTCTCCAAAAGTATATACTTGTTTCATAGCTATTCAAGTGTTTGCATAATAGTTTCCATGGAAGCAACATTAAGAATCCCCACATTGCTGGGTGCGGTGGCTCATGCCTGTAATCCCAGCACTTTAGAAGGCTGAGGTGGGTGGACCACAAGGTCAGGAGTTCGAGACCAGCCTCACCAACATGGTAAAACCCCATCTCTACTAAAAATACAAAAATTAGCCGGGCATGGTGGCACACGCCTGTAATCCCAGCTACTCAGGAGGCTGAGGCAGGAGTATTGCCTGACCCTGGGAGGCAGAAGTTGCAGTGAGCCGAGATCATGTCATTGCACTCCAGCCTGGGCAACAGAATGAGACTCTGTCTCAAAAACAAAACAAAACAAACAAACACAAACAAGGTTAGTAGGCTCTAACTTCTGGATTTCAAAACGTACTGCAAATCTATGCTAATAAAATGTTTGGTACTAGCATAATGACTCAGAAGTAGACCAGTGCAACAAAATAAACAGCACAGAAATATGCCTTTGCAATTTAAGTCCAATAATTTGTAACAAGTTTGCTGTGATCTTTCAATGGGGGTATAGATTAGTATTTATATTAGTATTTTGTTTTAGTAGCTCAAGCTGTGTAAAACATAACCCCATTAAAAAATAGGTCAAAGACTTACTTTAATGAGCATATACAAATAGACAATAGTTACCTGAAGATCTTTAGCATCACTCATCATGAAGGACATGCAAATGAAAACCACAATGTTGGACGGGCGTGGTGGCTTATGCTTGTAATCTCCCACTTTGGGAGGCCAAGGTGGGGGAATTACGAGGTTAAGAGATCAAGATCATCCTGGCCAACTTGGTGAAACCCAGTCTCTAAAAAAATACAAAATTAGCTGGGTGTGGAGGTGTGTGCCTGTAGTCCCAGCTGCTCAGGAGGCTGAGGTAGGACAATCACTTGAACCTGGGAGACAGAGATTACAGTGAGCCGAGATCGCACCACTGCACTCCAGCCTGGTGGCAGAGAGAGACTCTGTCTCAAAAAACAAGCCAGGCGCGGTGGCTCACACCTGTAATCCCAGCACTTTGGGAGTCCAGGGTGGGCGGACCACGAGGTCAGGAGATCAAGACCATCCTGGGTAACATGGTGAAACCCTGTCTCGACTAAAAAAAAAAAAAATACAAAAAAGTTAGCTGGGTGTGGTAGCACACGCCTGTAGTTCCAGCTACTCCAGAGGCTGAGGCAGGAGGATGCTTGAACCTGGCATCCGTCTTTCAACAATTTTGGCTAGACCAAGGTTGTGGTGAGCCGAGATTGCACCACTGCAAGACTCCATCTCACAAGAAGAAAAAAAAACACCCACATCCACACACTCTAGAGTGCTTCTAAGAACAACAAAATAAATGCTGACAATGATGTGAAATAATTGGGGCCTTTGTACACTGTGGGAATGCAAAATAGTACAACCATTGCTGAAAACTGTAGGATAGATCATCAAGAAATCCAAAATTGAAATAACATATGATCCACATTTCTGCTTTCTGGGAATCTACCCAAAATTACTGAAAGAAGGGTCTCAGGTAAGAAGGCTTTTATGTGCCAGGTGGGCATAGGGCACCTTCTTTCTGTCCTTCCCTGAAGCCCGGTGGGTCCTTGTCAGAGAGGGTTGTTGGCAGGCAGAAGGGTCTCAAATGTTTTTCCAAGGGCAAGAAATGGACTGGGTCATGTGAAGAAATACTTTTGAAAGAAAGTATTTACCTCAAAGAAAGTAAACCCATATTTATAGCAGCATAATTTACCAACAGATAAACCGTGAAAGCAACCCTCATGTTTATTGACAGATGGTACTATATGCATACAATGGAATATTGGTCAGTCTTCAAGGAAGGAAAATGTGACATATGCTACAGCTTGGTGAACCTTGTGGATATTGTGCTAAGTGAAATGGGCCATTCATATAAAGAAAAATATAAAGTCAGTTCACCTAATTCCTCCCGCTTTCCTCCAGATATGGACTCTTTGAAATATAGGAAATTGAGAAAATACAATGCAAAATTAGAGAAGATTGACTTGTAATTCTGAACCTGGGCTGAAAGTTCAAGAAATGGATGAAAAATATCATGACCTGCACAGGAAATAATTTTCTGAATTTAATAGCATAGTGAAGGTTGACAAAGAAAGATGTGGCTGGGCATGGTGGCTAATGCCTGTGATTCCAGCACTTTGGGAGGCCAAGGTGGGCAGACTGCCTGAGGTCAGGAGTTTGAGACCAGCCTGGCCAATATGGTGAAACCCAGTCTCTACCAAAAATACAAAAATTAGCCAGATGTGGTGGCAGGCGCCTGTAATCCCAGCTACACGGGAGCCTGAGATGGGAGAATCACTTCAACCTGGGAGGAAGAGGTTGCAGTGAACCAAGATTGTGCTTTGAAAAAAGGTTGGGAACTGCTGCTTTAGAGCAACAACACCTTATTGTAATACAAAAATCCACACCCATAGAAGAAAATCATGGTGGCTTTTTGAACATGTGTGGTATAAAGAGACATGTTTATGATTTGTGCTCGCACATGTGAAATTCCTTTCTGCCCATACTACAAACCTTCCCATGCCGTACCTAGCTGCTTAAAATTCCCCAGCTTCCCGCAGCTCTAGGAGGAGGAAGTATCTTGGGAGCAAGAGACTCTCACCCCATCTCCTTCTCTGGCCAGAAAATAAATCCTGCTTGCCTTTTTTTCGTTTCATTAGTTATTCTTTCATTGTGCATACAAACTAGAGAAAGAACTCAGTTTACCGGTGACACTTGTATTTCATACAAATATGGGAAACCTTTATATTTTCAAAAGCCTTGGCTTTTGATTGGAGCATTTAATTCATTAATATTTAAAGTCTTGAATTAGAGAGCATGTCCACACTGTGCAGAGGACAGAGGAGGGCAAGCTGAGTTTCCTCCTCTTTAAATCCTTCAGTGCCCCTGCTTCATCACCAGGTGCTGATCCCACTTGTAACTGGCAAAAGGGTCTGACTGCTCGCCGCTTGTGTAACAAAGTCAAAATAATAACAACTTGTGATAAGGAGTGAGATTTCTATATTATCTGTCCTAGCAGGGAAGAGCTGAAAGCAACCCCACTGTTCAATTTGTGGAGGAGATGCAGGGGTTTTTATAGGAAGGGTTTGGAATGCAGAAGAGGCGAGGGGGGCTAGGAGGTACCAGGTGGCGTGACTTGCTCTGGCTGCCCCTCTTGCATTATTGTCCCATTTGGTGAAGGGACTACTCCATTGTGGACCGTGCCAGGTTATAAATTAGTCGCAGACAATCTCATAGTCAATCTTCAGCTGGGTGTGGGTTCCGTCTTTGAATTAATCTTTTGTTGGAGAGAGAATTCCAGAGGTGTCTCGTC